TAGATAGGAAAAATAGCATACTTTAAAATGGCCATAACTCCTTTAATATTGACATTTCGGGGTTTTTAGCTATTATTTGTGATCACTTTTTAAAAGAGGAAAAATAGCATACTTTAAAATGGCCATAACTCCTTTAATATTGACATTTCGGGGTTTTTAGCTATTATTTGTGATCACTTTTTTAGATAGGAAAAATAGCATACTTTAAAATGGCCATAACTCCTTTAATATTGACATTTCGGGGTTTTTAGCTATTATTTGTGATCACTTTTTTAGATAGGAAAAATAGCATACTTTAAAATGGCCATAACTCCTTTAATATTGACATTTCGGGGTTTTTAGCTATTATTTGTGATCACTTTTTTAGATAGGAAAAATAGCATACTTTAAAATGGCCATAACTCCTTTAATATTGACATTTCGGGGTTTTTAGCTATTATTTGTGATCACTTTTTAAAAGAGGAAAAATAGCATACTTTAAAATGGCCATAACTCCTTTAATATTGACATTTCGGGTTTTTTAGCTATTATTTGTGATCACTTTTTTAGATAGGAAAAATAGCATACTTTAAAATGGCCATAACTCCTTTAATATTGACATTTCGGGGTTTTTAGCTATTATTTGTGATCACTTTTTTAGATAGGAAAAATAGCATACTTTAAAATGGCCATAACTCCTTTAATATTGACATTTCGGGGTTTTTAGCTATTATTTGTGATCACTTTTTTAGATAGGAAAAATAGCATACTTTAAAATGGCCATAACTCCTTTAATATTGACATTTCGGGGTTTTTAGCTATTATTTGTGATCACTTTTTAAAAGAGGAAAAATAGCATACTTTAAAATGGCCATAACTCCTATAATATTGACATTTCGGGGTTTTTAGCTATTATTTGTGATCACTTTTTTAGATAGGAAAAATAGCATACTTTAAAATGGCCATAACTCCTTTAATATTGACATTTCGGGGTTTTTAGCTATTAATTTTGATTACTTTTTAAAAGAGGAAAAATAGCATACTTTAAAATGGCCATAACTCCTTTAATATTGACATTTCGGGGTTTTTAGCTCTTATTTGTGATCACTTTTTTTAGATAGGAAAAATAGCATACTTTAAAATGGCCATAACTCCTTTAATATTGACATTTCGGGGTTTTTAGCTATTATTTGTGATCACTTTTTTAGATAGGAAAAATAGCATACTTTAAAATGGCCATAACTCCTTTAATATTGACATTTTGGGGGTTTTAGCTAGTATTTGTGATCACTTTTTTAGATAGGAAAAATAGCATACTTTAAAATGGCCATAACTCCTTTAATATTGACATTTCGGGGTTTTTAGCTATTATTTGTGATCACTTTTTAAAAGAGGAAAAATAGCATACTTTAAAATGGCCATAACTCCTTTAATATTGACATTTCGGGGTTTTTAGCTATTATTTGTGATCACTTTTTAAAAGAGGAAAAATAGCATACTTTAAAATGGCCATAACTCCTATAATATTGACATTTCGGGGTTTTTAGCTATTATTTGTGATCACTTTTTTAGATAGGAAAAATAGCATACTTTAAAATGGCCATAACTCCTTTAATATTGACATTTCGGGGTTTTTAGCTATTATTTGTGATCACTTTTTTAGATAGGAAAAATAGCATACTTTAAAATGGCCATAACTCCTTTAATATTGACATTTCGGGGTTTTTAGCTATTATTTGTGATCACTTTTTAAAAGAGGAAAAATAGCATACTTTAAAATGGCCATAACTCCTATAATATTGACATTTCGGGGTTTTTAGCTATTATTTGTGATCACTTTTTTAGATAGGAAAAATAGCATACTTTAAAATGGCCATAACTCCTTTAATATTGACATTTCGGGGTTTTTAGCTATTAATTTTGATTACTTTTTAAAAGAGGAAAAATAGCATACTTTAAAATGGCCATAACTCCTTTAATATTGACATTTCGGGGTTTATAGTTATTATTTGTGATCACTTTTTAAAAGAGGAAAAATAGCATACTTCAAAATGGCCATAACTCCTTTAATATTGACATTTCGGGGTTTTTAGCTATTATTTGTGATCACTTTTTAAAAGAGGAAAAATAGCATACTTTAAAATGGCCATAACTCCTTTAATATTGACATTTCGGGGTTTTTAGCTATTATTTGTGATCACTTTTTAAAAGAGGAAAAATAGCATACTTTAAAATGGCCATAACTCCTTTAATATTGACATTTCGGGGTTTTTAGCTATTATTTGTGATCACTTTTTAAAAGTGGAAAAAAACATACTTTAAAATGGCCATAACTCCTTTAATATTGACATTTCGGGGTTTTTAGCTCTTATTTGTGATCACTTTTTTTAGATAGGAAAAATAACATACTTTAAAATGGCCATAACTCCTTTAATATTGACATTTCGGGGTTTTTAGCTCTTATTTGTGATCACTTTTTAAAAGAGGAAAAATAGCATACTTTAAAATGGCCATAACTCCTTTAATATTGACATTTCGGAGTTTTTAGCTATTATTTGTGATCACTTTTTTAGATAGGAAAAATAACATACTTTAAAATGGCCATAACTCCTTTAATATTGACATTTCGGGGTTTTTAGCTCTTATTTGTGATCACTTTTTAAAAGAGGAAAAATAGCATACTTTAAAATGGCCATAACTCCTTTAATATTGACATTTCGGGGTTTTTAGCCATTATTTGTAATCACTTTTTAAAAGGGGAAAAATAGCATACTTTAAAATGGCCATAACTCCTTTAATATTGACATTTCGGGGTTTTTAGCTATTATTTGTGATCACTTTTTAAAAGAGGAAAAATAGCATACTCTAAAATGGCCATAACTCCTTAAATATTGACATTTCGGGATTTTTAGCTATTAATTTTGATTACTTTTTAAAAGAGGAAAAATAGCATATTTTAAAATGGCCATAACTCCATAAATATTGACATTTTGGGGTTTTTAGCTAATATTGTATATTAAATATTGACATTTCGGGGTTTTTGGCTACTATTTGTGATCACTTTTTTAGATAGGAAAAATAACATACTTTAAAATGGCCATAACTCCTTTAATATTGACATTTCGGGGTTTTTAGCTATTATTTGTGATCACTTTTTAAAAGAGGAAATATAGCATACTTTAAAATGGCCATAACTCCTTTAATATTGTCATTTCGGGGTTTTTAGCTATTATTTGTGATCACTTTTTAAAAGAGGAAAAATAGCATACTTTAAAATGGCCTAGTTCTTCCCAAAAATCTCCAAAGAGTTCTCCAATAAATCCACAATGTGTTTTTTATTTTTTGTTTTTTTTTTTTTTTGTTGCTTTAATGTTTTGTTAATTTTTTCAAAGATTTAATTGTAACGACTGCCAAGTTGCCATCACACACAATTACATATTACAATGATTGGCAACACTGCACACAATATCGTTGCCAACCCAACAATTAATTTAAAAACATAGTGGGCATTGCCTCACATACCAAAGCTCATGGCTATGAAACTAAAGGTAATTATAACGGTTGCTTTCTCTCCTCTATGCTAAGGGAAGGTAACATGTGTGTGTGTGTGAGTATTTGTGAGCAAGTGAGTGACGATGACAGCAAACATATGGTTGTGTGTCTATTCATGTGCAGAAAAATGCCCGAAAACAATATTGCATTCAACAACGTCTGTTATACGAAATAAAAGAGAGAGAGAACTCCAGATGTTTTGTGAGAGGAAATCGAGAGTAACATATGCCGAGTGTATGGGAGAGAGATAACGTTGAATGCATTACCGTAATAATAATAAAAATTAAAAAAATGGAAATTACCTATAAAAAAGTGCGTGCCAAACAACCTCTGTTGGGTATTCTCTGAGTGTTGTTTAGATTCAAATCAGCGTAACCGTTCGGTGGTTCGTTCTTTCGTCACGAATGAATGACTGGTGAGGTTGAATATGAAACAAAGTTACAAAGTTTTGCTTTAGATTTTTTTAATTAGGGAATCATATTAAAAAAAATTCCCCCCTTTGGCCCGTTTGGCTGTTCTAGCGGGCCATGCAAAATGACTTCCTTTTCCGTTTGTTTTGAATGGCAAAATGAGTATAGCATTGAAATACACATGTGAGAGAGAGAAGAGAACACGTGTATGTGGGAGAGAAAGTTTGTTTCAGTGACATTTCGTTTTTTTGTTGTTACATTTTGTTAGCCATGGCCAAAGCAATGGTGGTTGATTTGCTTATGGAAATCTAAACTGAATTGAATGGCTTTCGAATGAATCCAAAGCCCCCCCAACAAACAGTTGAAAGCTAAACTCTCTCTTAAATACACGGCATAAATCGAATGTATCGGAAGAAGAATTTTCTAAAATATTTCAAAACAATTTTAAATACCCTGCTATCTTTAGAAGGAAAATTAATAAATAATTAGTGGGAAGGCAAAAAAAGGCATCTAAAACGCCAAGAAAATCGAAAAGAAAATCAAAAGCAACGTCAAAGAAAAATTGTGTGTTTCCTATGGCTTTGGGGGTTCATTGCTCGGTTCGGTTGTTTGCTGCTGGGGCCATTTGAAAAGATTTCAAAATATGTAGAGATTTAAGTGATTACGTCTTGCATTATTTCGTTGGGTCACTTTCATCCGGTACTTTTTGTGTTTTGTGTATCCTGAACGTGGAAAAAATCTTCACCTCCGCAACTTCCCCCCCGCTCCTCAGTGAGTTCAAGTTATGTGAGAGTGTCTGAGTGTTGATTAGAGTCACAAAGTGGAAATGCAATTATATAATCAAATTAATTAAATGCTAATGAAAAAAAAGGAAAATGGGGTTACCCTACTTCCCATAAATCACCCGGCCAATCGATGATGATGATGAAAATGGCCATCCGTCGTTGAGTGTTGGTGGATGGTCAGCAGCATAACACCATCATAAATCAATAGCTATGCAAAAAAAAAAAAATAGCAGGATCAAAGGATACGAAATCTCGCACATTCCCCACACAGACATATGCGTTATGTATGTATATTAAAATGTACATACCCCGCACACACAACTAATCTGAAACAGGAATAATCCGGAAATCAACAGTGTCGTGTATGCCAAACAGCAACAGCAAGACGAGCGACGTGAGACAAGACAAGAATAAAAATCAAAACAATCGGCTAAGAGCAACATCGGCACCCTTAACTGACACTCCAACAAACGACTGAGTGACAAACCAACCATCCATCCAACCCGACCATGGCCACTGCCAATGCTATGAGCAGTAGTTGTCAGAGCATCGCTGCTGTTACAAACATGTCCACCAGCGTTGGTGGTTGTTTACGTTCCAACAATGGCAATGGCAATACAACTCAGTATGTCATGGGTACCGGTAGTTTGGGTCGACTCAAGCTGAAAACGTTGGGCGCCAGTGATGAAGAATTGGATTTTGCCCAGGTAAATTATTAAAATTCTGTTTTTTTTTTCTACAACTTTCCTCCATTAGCTATACACAGCCAGCCAGCTAATTAATACCGCCTCGCCATTCTCCACCATAACCCTAGCGTAGTATCATCCTTTAGCCCTTAGTCCATTCAACCAGCTGGGCCCATCATTTATCGTAGGTGTTTGACATTGTGTCACAGTTGACTGCAAATTTTGCTGTTGTTGTTGCTGTTGTTGTTTATTCTTCTATTTTTCATTTGTGGCTCTTCCACAAGCCATAAATTGGAGTTTCGCCCCTTTACCACCCCTTTAATACTTTGGCATGTTTTTCTTTCTTTTTTTGCACTATTTAACCATCGCCTGGTCGATGGCCAACCAACCATTATGATATTTAATTCAATTATAAGTTCAGTGAATAGATACCTCCGTACATATGTTTCCGGATAATCTATAAGAAATATAATCTTTTGTTTCACATAAAAAAAATAAATGTAGACGAATAGATAAGAGTATTAAGGTGGGGATTAATTTCTTAATTTAGACGCAATTCAAGAAAATGATTATAAGATGATTATGAAATTGGTGTATCCTGTTTCTGGACTATTTCTCTGAAGACCCAGGTGAAACCCCTTTAAAACTTAAAAAAGGGACGTAACACCATCAGCGGTTCAATTCTTGTCTTAAGAAAATTTACACAGGACACTTCTATAAATGAAATATAAAATTTTCTGAAGATAATGTTTTTCATTTTCAAAAAATATTTTTCATTTTTATAGGACAAGAATTAAACCCAAACTAGTGATAGGTAGATCGTCTTACGATTAATCGAGTTTTAGTGTTGAGAATTTGAAGAGACGACTTTGCTGCCGATAAAAACGACAATTACCACCTTTCGAAGTCGTTTTGGGCGACTTTCCATTATACCCTCCACCATAAGGCGATGGTTATATTAAATTGGTCATTCCGTTTGCTACTCTTCGAAATATTTTTCGTAGATCCCATACAGTAGATATTTTCCTGATGAGCATAAAATTCAAAGATGCCCCCACCCGTTCTCCAGATATTCAGTTTTCCATGATTTAGTTAAATTGTTTAAAATTTCATATTTTGTGTCACCTCTGTTAAAAAAAAAAAGTTTTTTATGGGTCCAAGTTGTCCTATAGTTCCCCTAAAACGGTAATTTCCAATATCCTGCGTTTTAGGGACTTAAGTCAAATATTTCCAACTGAATTGTGTGAAAATCGGTATTTTGGGTTTGCAATAACTACCATTACCTCTGGTTAAAAATTTGTTTTTAAAGGTCCAGGTTTTCTTGTAGCTTTCATATAATGGTACAAGGCCATCCTGGAAAAATGGGACTATACAAGACTTTTTTAGGACTTCTTGACAAAAAATCATACATTTTTAAAGAAATTTTAATTTAAAAACATCAATTGGTTGATGTATACCCTCAGCCAATGTTTGATTATATAAATATATTTTGACTTGTGGAGTAGGTTCCAATGGAATGGGTCAACATTGTCCATTTCGTATCGAATCTAAATAAATATGATATACAAAAATATTGCAAAGTGCCAGATTTGGACAATATCGACTACTTCCTTCAAACATTAAAATATGCGTAAGATACCCGATATAGCCGACCGAAGTATTATTCATCTCATGATTCTGTTTGAGAGACATATATTAAGATGTAGCAAGTTGTAAAGAATCGCTGTCTTGTCTCACAAGTTATGACACATTAAAAATTGGGACCCTTTGTGGGTGAGTTATCTTGAGGGGTTCGCAGATATATGTCATCTTCACAACAGATATTTTCTGAGCAAAAATGCTTGTATGTGCGAAATTTGAAGAGAGTTGGATGCTCATTCCGCTTTTTTCTTGAGCGTGTTGTTTTTCAAAATTTTGAACCCATATAGGGTTCAGAAGAAATGAAGAAAGAAAGGAGGTACCAGAAGAAATGGTCCGATCTCTACCATCTTTATATTAGATATAGGATTGATGGAAATATTGAGATGTAAAAAGTCCGAATGGAATCGTATGTTAATTTGGCGTTTTATGAGCTTCATGGATAATCACCTTTTGTGGGGAAGGTACCAGAAGGAGTGGACTGATATATCCCATCTTCACAGTTGATCTTGTGTTAGTAGAAATAATCATATGTGTGAAATATTAAGAGAACCGGATGCTTATTTCGGATTTTATAATCGTTTTAGTTATTCAAAACTTTGAGCCTTTGTGGGGAGGTACCAGAAGAAATAGTCCGATCCCGACCATCTTTATAATAGATCTTGTGCTGATGGAAATATTGAGATGTGTAAAGCCTGAATGAAATTGGATGTTAATTTCTCGATTTATGCGGTTTATGGGTATTCAAAATGTTTACCCTTTGTGGGGGAGGTACCAAAAGGAGTGGATCGTAATATTCCATCTTCACACAAGACCTTGGATTAATATAAATATTGGGAACTGTCAAATTTTTAATTAATTTTAATTTAATTAGTCATTCGAAATGTTGACCCACTGTGGTGGAGGTGCTTGGTGGAATGGATCGATATTGTGTTTTTTGAAAATTCGTTCGAAGTTCAGCCAGACCGAACTTACTGCTTTTTAACTTGTTTTAGTACAAATATGTGTATACAAATTGTTATAGACTAAAGTAACAAATTTGCCGCCAAACGTATTGATTAGTTTTTGGAGGACCAAACGTATATTTTTATGATTATTTTTTAAAGGACCAAACGTGGATTTTTGTGATTGTTTTTCAAGGACCAACGTGGATTTTTGTGATTGTTTTTCAAGGGCCAACATGGTTTTTTAAAGAATATTTTTTCAAGGACCAAACGTGTATTTATAATGTATATATCTTTAACACGTTCAAGGACCAACGTGGATTTTTGTGATGGTTTTTCAAGGACCAACATGGTTTTTTAAAGAATATTTTTTCAAGGACCAAACGTGGATTTCTAAAGTACACATCTTTAAGGACCAAACGTGGATTTTTGTGATTGTTTTTCAAGGACCAACGTGGATTTTTGTGACTGTTTTTCAAGGACCAACGTGGATTTTTGTGATTGTTTTTCAAGGACCAACGTGGATTTTTGTGATTGTTTTTTTTTTAAAGAATATTTTTTCAAGGACCACCCTGGTTTTTTGAAGAATATTTTTCAAGAACCAACAGCCCAACAAAGAATATATTTTCAAGTACCAACGTGATTTTTTAAAAGAATATTTTTCAAGGACCAACCTGGTTTTTTAAAGAATATTTTTTTAAGGACCAACAGGCCAACAAAGAATATTTTTTCAAGGGCCAAACGTGGATTTATAAAAAATATATTTTAAGGACTAAACGTGGATTTTTAAAGAATATTTCTTTATTTTATTCTATGTTTTTCAAGGACTAACGTGTTTTTTTAAAGAATATTTTTTCAAGGACAAACCTGGCTTTTTAAAAAATATTTTTTCAAAGACCAACAGGCCAACAAAGAATATTTTTCAAGGACCAACGTGGTTTTTTAAAGAATATTTTTCAAGGACCAACCTGGTTTTTTAAAAAATATTTTTTCAAGGACCAACAGGCCAACAAAGAATATTTTTTCAAGGGCCAAGAAAAGATCATCCAATTTTGTGCAAACATCATTTATCCTTCAAAGTATAAATATTACCATTTCAGTCAAAAGGATCAAGCTTTTGACTCATTAAGGTAATGGAAATTTAATATAAAATTTCAAAAGAAGGTTTACACAAATGAGTAAAACATTTGTCAATTATTCAATCAATCATTCACATGTGATATATCACTAACATATGTGTGTATAAGACCCACATGCATCACATACATATGCACAAGAATACAAAGCAAACATAAAGACTCAATATGTCTGCAATTAAAATGATGTCCTTTGCATATCCTTCCTTATGTTTGAGATAGTATGTGTGTATGAAATACCCTCATATTGTGATAATATCTTACGAAATCATTAGAAGTACCTAGATGTAGATGAAGAAATGTTCTGCTAATCTCAGACTATTTCACAGATGATTAGTTTAATTAATCATAATTACTCTGAACTGTTCGAAATGCCAAACATTGTCTTAACGTCGTTATCATTTTGATATTCAGGAAGCTCTGGATACACACACATAATTTAGTTCAAACGACTTATTAAGGTCAACTACTAATTAGGGAATATTAAAAACAAAATAATTCAATATTTCATTTAACCATAGAAATCGAAATGAATATGGATATTCTGAAATAAATTACCTCCTTATCTATTCGCCCAGCCCCCCAGAACCATGAATCATTTATGGCGTAGACAACAGTTTGATTGCATTGATATTGAACTTAATTATTTGTCGGCACGAAGGTGACGTTTTTTTGCACTGTCTACCTGGGCAAAAAAAACAACAACAACAAACCACATACAACAACCTTTACGTGTTGACCTCTTAGATATTCGCATTGTTATCTTTTTTTTTTTGGTTGATGGAGACAAATTGTATAGAAGGACTGTTGAGGTGCAGACACAACAACAACACAATGTCAGGGAAAAAATGGAAAAATTTAAATACAACAAAAATATTTTACAAATACATATGCAACACAATGGAATACTTTTTGAAGAGGATTTTTTTCAAGGACCAAGAGACCTTTAAACTTGAATTTTTAAAGAATACTTTTTCGAGGCCCAACAGACGTGGATTTTTAAAGAATATTTTTTCAAGGACCAACAGACCAATAAATGTGGATTTTTATAGAATATTTTTTTTTCAAGGACCAAAGGAACAATAAACGTGGATTTTTAAAGATTATTTTTTTAAGGACTCAAGGAGAAATAAACTTTAAGAATATTTTTTTCAAGAACCAAAGGAACAATAAACGTTGATTTTTAAAGAATATTTTTTCAAGGACCAACAGACCAATAAACGTGGATTTTTAAAGAATATTTTTTCACGTACCAACAGACCAATAAACGTGGAATTTTAAAGAATATTTTTTCAAGGACCAATAGACCAATAAACCTGGATTTTTAAAGAATATTTTTTCAAGGACCAACAGACCAATAAACGTGGATTTTTAAAGAATATTTTTCAAGGACCAAAGGAGCAATAAACGTGGATTTTTAAAGAATATTTTTCAAGGACCAACAGACCAATGAACGTGGATTTTTAAAGAATATTTTTCAAGGACTCAAGGAGCTATAAACGTGGATTTTTAAAGAATATTTTTTTCAAGGACCAAAGGAGCAATAAACGTGGATTTTTAAAGAATATTTTTTTTTCAAGGAACAAAGGTGCAATAAACGTGGATTTTTAAAGAATATTTTTTTCAAGGACCAAAGGAGCAATAAACTTGGATTTTTAAAGAAAATTTTTTTCAAGGAACAAAGGTGCAATAAACGTGGATTTTTAAAGAATATTTTTTAAAGGACCAAAGGAGCCATAAACGTGGATTTTTAAAGAATATTTTTTCAAGGACTCAAGGAGCTATAATCGTGGATTTTTAAAGAATATTTTTTCAAGGACTCAAGGAGCTATAATCGTGGATTTTTAAGAATATTTTTTCAAGGACTCAAGGAGCTATAAACGTGGATTTTTAAAGAATATTTATTCAAGGACTCAAGGAGCTATAATCGTGGATTTTTAAAGAATATTTTTTCAAGGACTCAAGGAGCTATAATCGTGGATTTTTAAAGAATATTTTTTCAAGGACTCAAGGAGCTATAATCGTGGATTTTTAAAGAATATTTTTTCAAGGACTCAAGGAGCTATAATCGTGGATTTTTAAAGAATATTTTTTCAAGGACTCAAGGAGCTATAATCGTGGATTTTTAAAGAATATTTTTTCAAGGACTCAAGGAGCTATAATCGTGGATTTTTAAAGAATATTTTTTCAAGGACTCAAGGAGCTATAATCGTGGATTTTTAAAGAAAATATTTTAAGGAGCTATAAACGTGGATTTTTAAGGAAAATTTTTTCAAGGAGTTATAAACGTGGATTTTTAAAGAATGTTTTTTTCAAGGACCACCACAACAATAAACGTGGATCTTCAAAGAATATTTTTTCAAGGACCAAAGGAGCAATAAATGTGGATTTTCAAAGAATATTTTTTCAAGGATCCAAGGAGCAATAAATGTGGATTTTCAAAGAATATTTTTTTCAAGGATCAAAGGAGCAATAAATGTGGATTTTTAATGAATATTTTTTCAAGGACCAACAGACCAATAAAGAATATTTTTTTCAAGGACCCAAGGAGCTATAAACCTGGATTTTTAAAGAATATTTTTTAAGGACCAACAGACCAATAAATGTGGATTTTTAAAGAATATTTTTTCAAGGACTCAAGGAGCTATAAACGTGGATTTTTAAAGAAAATTTTTTAAGGAGCTATAAACGTGGATTTTTGAGGAAAATTTTTTCAAGGAGCTATAAACGTGGATTTTTAAGGAAAATTTTTTCAAGGAGTTATAAACGTGGATTTTTAAAGAATGTTTTTTTCAAGGACCACCACAACAATAAACGTGGATCTTCAAATAATATTTTTTTCAAGGACCAAAGGAGCAATAAATGTGGATTTTCAAAGAATATTTTTTCAAGGATCCAAGGAGCAATAAATGTGGATTTTCAAAGAATATTTTTTTCAAGGATCAAAGGAGCAGTCAATGTGGATTTTTAATGAATATTTTTTCAAGGATTAATGAGCCACCAAGCGTTGAGGTGAATTTTTTAGGATATTTTTTCTATGAGTATTGGACCAGTATTGTATTGGCTACATAAAGAATGTGTCATTTGATGTGGCCAGAACGGTCGTACGGCCAATATGGCTAGCTCTCTTTCGACCAAATCCGTTTCGGAACATTTGGAACCGATCTATCGATGTCCGTCTCTATTGATCTATCTGTCTGGCCGTAGCGCGCGATATCTTTAGAAGCGAATATCCGATTTGGTCAAAACTTTGTAGATCGGAGATGGCCACTCCACTATATATCTGAACCTACTTTGAACAAATTTGATGTACTTGCTTCTAGACTGAATTCGGTCGGATGTACCACAATTCAGAACATTTGGACAGATATTGGTCATTCGATGAACAATTAATCCGAAATCGGTTTAAGATATATATGGGAGAAATATCCAAATCTGAACCGATCTTCATACAATTTGGCAGAAGTATTTCTGGGCTGTATCCGGTATCTGATACCAAATATCATTCTTGTGGGGTACATATTACGAATATGGGGGACTTAAATACCAAATCGGATGAAACATATATACGGGAGCTATCTGAACCGATTTTCTCCGAATTTGATGTACTTGCTTCTAGGCTGGATTCGGTCGGATGTGCCGAAATGCAGATCATATTTTAATATTGTTTGGAAACTTTCATCTCAATAGGCTAATAAATTTGACGTACATTTTGTTCGCAAGAATACATGGACAGACAGACGGACGGACTGACATGCATAAATAGTGATTCTATGAAGATCCACAAAAGTAACTATGGGTCTACATCGCTTTCTTCTTCATGTTACAAACATATGCAGAAAGACATAATACTCTTACCACATATGTTTTAGGGTATAAGCAATTCTCTCATAGAAAAAGAAAGGGTCATTCGATTTTGTGCAAACTTTGCAAATCCTAATATTTGTTTCAGAGCTAGGTCAAGTGAAAAAATATCTGCTCATTAAGTACCTCCCCCACAAAGGGTCCAAATTTTGAATAATCGTATCTCTTATAAAAGGTAAAATAAGAGTCCGATTGTCTTTAAATTTGGCACATCTCAATATTTCGTCCAACATAAGATTTTGCATGAGAACGGACAGAACGGACCAATATTTCCGGCACCCTTCCAACAACGTGTAAACATTTTGATTAATAATAAAGCTTATAAAATGTGAAATAAGAGTTCGATTATCCTCAAATTTCGCACATCTCAATATTTCCACCAAATCTAGGTCTGTTATGAAGATAGGTTAGAACGGACCACCACTTCTGGCACCTCCCCGACAACGGTGAATACTTTTATCTCTCATAAAATGCGATATATGCATTCGCTACGGTTCCCCCTTCACACATCTGAATATTTCTGCTAAGAATAGACCTGTCCACTCCTTCGGATACCTCTCTTACAAAGGAGTCCAAATTTTTAAAAAACAAAACTCAACTCAAAAATGTGAAATTAGCATTCGGTTACTTTCAGTATCAACTTATCCCAATTATTCCTATCAACACCAGATTAGATGAAAAGATGGATTAAATCGGTCCACCTTTTTCTGCCACCTCCCTCACAAAAGGGTGAAAACTTTGAATAACCAAAATGCGCATAAAATGCGAAATGGGCATCTGATTTTCTCTAAACTCCTCATACTCAAATATTTTTTCGAAGACAAGATCAGATATGAAGATGCTAAATATAGGTCCACTCCTTCTTGTACCTCCCCCACAAATGGGTCAAATTTTTGAATTTCCAAAACGCTCACAAACTGTAAAACCGGCGTCCAAATTTTTCTAAACTCGACACATTCCAATATTGCTGTTAATACAAGATCTGGTGTGAATATGGGTTATATCAGTCCACTCATTTTTGTACCTCCCCCACAAATAGGTCAACATTTTAAGTGATCCAAACGCTCATAAAATACGGAAAAAAGCATCAGAGACTCTTCACTTTTCAGACATCCTAATATTTTTACTAAAAAAAATATAAGGCGTACAGATAGGCCAACATTTTGAATAACAAATCGCTCATAAAATACGAAATAAGCATCCGTTTATCTTCAAATATTACTCAAGTCATTATTTCTTCCAACAAAAGATCTGAAGTGAAGGTGGTGGACACCGGCCCACACCTTGCGGTACCTCCCCCCAAAGGGCCACAATTTGCAATACTTATATCTCTCAGAACTCGGGAAACGAGTCATCGATATTTTTCAAACTTAGTATATCTAAATATTTCTCTCACTCAAAGATCTGATATAAATGCGGAATTTATCGGTCCACCCCTCTGGTACCTACCTCAAAAAAAAAGGTCAAACATTAATTAAAAATTATTAAAAATTGATTAAAAATTATTCGAGTAATCGGCCAACAAACGTAGATGCGAAGGAACATTTTTCATGGATTATTGGACCACCAAAAATGTAATTGCTTATGGACCCTCCAATTAGGAAATTGTAAAGGGTATTATTTATCCACCTTTATCCTTTAAGGTTATTTTTAAAGAACTTCTTATTTCTTGGATTTTATTTTAAGTGTCCCATATCTTTGCTCGCTTTTTCAATTGAATTTCCTTTTAGCCAACCAACCCCCATAATGAGTGCTGAAAACTCAGCAAGTGTCCACTTAGGTTACATCTTCGATAATGGAAGTTCAAATATTCCCTTGAGTCGTCTCCTCTTGCTTTGTCTCCCCCTGCATTATTCAAAGTTCAACACATTGACAAAGCCGTAAAGCACAGGAGCTGGTTGGTGGCAGGTTGGCAGGTCGGTCGCCAGTAAGTTGTACTTGTTGTGCAAATGTCCTGCCACAATTAGCAATTGCATAGCTGCGGGCTATTTGTGACGATACTTTGAATGTTTTATTTCTTTGCTCCGCATTTTTCTCTACTTCTTGCGTTTTGAAAAGCAGATTGTAATGAGTTTTCAAGCTGCCTTCAGGCTGACTGGCTGACTGGATGGATGGATGAATAGTGGAACAAAGAAGTTGATTGCTGTGGTGTTGGCAGGCCATCCAGCCAAAAGGCATTTTGTTTAGTTTACTTTTGTTCTACATTAAAAAACAAAGACACACACACTCACACATTTTTCAATGAAAAGGAAAAAAAGCTAATATGTTTCAATGTATGTGTGCGCCTTTGTCTCTTTGCAGTTATCTCAATCGACCCATATTTTGGGACGTGTTAAATCGGAACGTTTTCTATCATCTAAAGTGGATGAGGATCGTCGACGTCGCACCATAATTGTCGAGAAGAAAAATGATTCCTTTGGCTTTACGCTGCAAAGTTATGGCATACATTACAAAAAGGACCAGGAGGTGGAGATGATAACCTATGTGGACTATGTGGAGTATGATGGACCGGCCTATAAGGCGGGTATGCGGGAGGGAGATGTGATATTGTCGATAAATGGCCAAAATATGGAGAAGGCAGACCACAAGACGCTGGTGGATTTTATAAAAAGTTGTGATTCCAGGATGCGTATGGTGGTGCTTTTCGAGGATTGTGTGCGGAAGGTAAGGGGGCAAAAAAATTTAACAATTTTGGGAATAAAATAAATTTTTTGGAATTTTTTGCAGGTCAATTTACACATGCGCTATATCCAGTTGCAAAATCTTCTGCAAAATAAAATGAATGAGCTGGAAAGGATCTGTGTGCGCGAACGAGAGCTGCTGGAGGGCAAGTGGAAGACACACAGCCTGCCGGCCCGCAAAAAGGCCACCACTGCCACAGAGGGTGGCACGGAGACAGGAAACTCTCCCACAGACACTGAGATAAATTTACCCTACTATCGCCCAGCCTTGTCCACCGAAGATTTTACGAACATAGCTCGTCAATCATCGCAACAAACAATAATACCACCACCGGCCCAATATATGTTGTCCTATCAGTATTTTGATCCCACATATCGTTATGTCCTGAAGCCTTCGATTTCCACCACCAGCAGTGGTGATTGTTTTGTGACAATAGGAGAGCCATTGAGTCGGGCCCAGTCGGGTGATACCACAACGGCGGGGCCGACGTCGCAGCACTTCACTAGCCAAAGGCGGGCCAGTGTTTCGCAGACACCGCCAGCTCCACCGCCCAGGACCTGTGAGAAACACAAGCCACCAAATAAACAACAACAGCAACAACAACAGTCCATACCACCCAAACAGGAGGGGTGTTCGGCTCAAAAATCCACCAAGGCTGGCAAACATTGCCATGGACGTTCCTGCAATCCCTGCATTGATTTCCGTTGGAAATCCTCAGCCAAAACGGCCGCCCTGGCTGCCTCGGGCAATGGTGGTGGCGGTGGTGATAATGTCAGTTTGGATGCCTATGATTTGGCCAGTCCCTGTTGTGACACACAATGTGTACCCAGTCGGCGGCATGTCCGTCATCATCACAAGGAACACAGTCACAAGCATAAACATCGTGATCGTGAGCGGGAAAGTGAGTCCAAGGAGAGGCCACCGCGGCCCAAGTCACAGAGTCATGTCTCACCGGGACCGGCCACAAGGCATCATCATCATCGCCATATCGGCCATGAGCCGGGGCATCATCATACCGCTGCCCAACATTATCAGTATTATGGTACAGGCCAACAACAACAGCAGCAACAACAACAACAATCGATTTCCAGTCAACATCAAAAATCAGGACATGGCTGTGATTCCCATAGCGGTAGCATAAGGTCGAGATACTTTGATTTGGCCTCAGGGCTGGCCAGCCACTGTAGCCTACACTCCTGTACATCCAGTGAGTTCCAGCAACCGGATACGGCTTCCTATACCACCTCGATAAGTACCGACACGCTGTTCTATGATCCGAATAGTGAAAATCCAGGAATGGCCTCAAGGCAGCATTCCACAAAATCAAGGCAGTCCACCTGTCAGCAACAACATCAGCAGCAGCAACAACAACAGCACCAGCATCAACATCATCACCATCAGCAGCAGCAGGGAGAGCCACAAGGAGGTCCCACACCACATCATCATCACCATCATCACAGCCAACAGCAGCATCAGCACCATCAACACCACCACCATCAGCAGCAGGCTCAGCAACAGGCCCAGCAACAGGCCCAACAACAGGCTCACCAACAACATCAGGCCCAATACATGCATCACATGTACCAACAGCGTTACCATATCACCGCCACCCAGATACAGCCAGCCCAGATTTTCCCCAACACCGCCTATGTCCATAAACCCAAGTCCTGGGATAACCTGACCGCTGCCAATTTGGGGGCCTATGGCTATGGTTATGGCTATCTGGACACGGTGGCCATGAAACCCATTGTCAATTTACAAATTGCCCAACAACGTCATTCCATACCCCGGAAAAATCCCTATGGGCGATACTCGGCCTATACCGATGTGGAGAACTATGCCCCGCCACCCACGGAGTTCTTGGAACAGGTGACGACCACCACAACCACCATAACTGCCAAATCAGCCGAAGACATATTGGCGTCGCCCGGTACGGGACCTCCGTCGGCAAATCCCTGTGAATGTGCCAACTCGCAACAGCATCAGCAGGCCATAAAAATGGCCCAAATGCAGATCAATCAAAGTCATGCCGCTGCCGCCGGTCATCACAACCAATGTCAAATGGGTTACTATTCCCATTTGCCCCAGCCGAAGACAGATGCCGCCACCTCCACTGCAGGTTCTCCACAAACGGCCGCCAATGCTGCCACAGTCACCGAGGTGACACGTTTGTAGGTATCGCTTGTTTAGGTCAATCATAGCTGCAATTGGCCTAAATGATGGAACTGAAAAAATAGCGAAATGGAAAGCAGCATCAAAGTTTTTTTCCTTGTGATCTCAAAGCGATCTCGAATAAATTAGGAGTAGATCAAGGCTTTCTTTCGACAAAAATATTCAAAAGAAAGATGGAATAGAAAAATATAACCAAATGCCTCTTAGCATAGAAAGGGGACGCCATTGGGGATGAGAAAATCGATTTAGGAAAAATTGAATTTCAGTATTGAAGTATCTAGCCGCCTAAAAATATGCAATTATTATTATCTCATTACTTTCATCAAAAAAGTAAAACTAAAATTGAAATCGACTTTGGGTGTCTAAAGACTAGTTTCCACATCATGTTAGAGTCATATGTACTCAGACATTTGCATATTTTTAGTAAACATTTTCATAGCATACTTGTGGGCGCTTCGAATTTAAAATGGACACGTTTAATCTATTTATGATATTGTAAAAGGGCGAGAAAGGAAACACGACCGCTTCGTTTGGGTGTAGATTTAATTCTCTATTTGGCTCGAAAGACCATTGTAGAAAGAGAGAAAAGAAACACACCCGCTTCGTTAGGGTGTAGATTCAATTCTCTATCCAACTCGAAGGACCAATGTAGAAAGTGAGAAAGGAAACACGACCGCTTCATTGGGACGTAGCTTCAATTCTCCATCCTGCTCGAAGGACCAATGTGGATAGTGAAAAAAGAAGCACGACCGCTTCGTTTGAGTGTTAATTGAATTTTCTACCCGGCTCGACTGGACCAAATGCAAGAAGGCAAGAGAAAGAGAAAGAAGGAAAGGAAAAGTGATAAAAGCAACATGAGCGCTTCGTTAGAGTATAGAATCAATTCTCTATCCGGCTCGACTGGACCAAATTTAAGAAAGGGAGAAAAGAATACGGCCACTTCCTTAGGGTGTAGAATCAATTCTCTATCCGGTTTGAAGGACAAATGTAAAAAGTGAGAAAATAAACACGAAAGCTTCGTTAGAGTGTAGAATCAATTCTCTATTTGGCTCGACTGGACCAAATGTAAGAAGGCGAAAAATGCACAATATCTTTGTCAGGGTATAGAATCAATTATCTATCCGGCTCGAAGGACCAATATAGTAAGTGATAAAAGAAACATGAGCGCTTCGTTAAGGCGCAGAATGAATTCTCTATCCGGCTCGACTGGACCAAACGTAAGATGAGAAAAGAACACGACCTCTTTGTTTTGGGTGTAGATTCAATTTTCTATTCGTCTCAAAAGACCAGTGTAGAAACTGACAAAAGAAACAAGACTGCTTCGTTAGGTTATAGAATCAATTCTGTATCCGGATCAACTGGACCAAATGTAAGAAGGCGAGAAAAAAAAACACGACCGCTTCGTTTGGGTGTAGATTAAATTTCTTATCCGGCTCGAAGGACCAATGAAGATGGTGAGAAGAGAAACACGACTGCTTCGTTAGGGTGTAGATTTAATTCTATATCGGGCACCACCGGACCAAATGTAAGAGGGCTAGAAAAGAATACGAATCAATTCTCTATCCGGCTGGAAGGACCAATGTTAGAAGTGAGAAAAGAAACACGACCGCTTCGTTTAGGTGTAGATTCAATCTCTACCCTGCTCGAAGGACCAATGTAGATAGTGAGAAAAGAAAGACGACAGCTTCGTTATGGTTTAGAGTCAATTGCGTATCCGGCTCGAAGGGCCAATGTAAAAAGTGGGAAAATAAACACGACCGCTTCGTTAAGGTTTAGAATCAATTCTCTATCCGGCTCGAAGGACCAATATAGAAAGTGAGAAAAGAAACACAACCGCTTCGTTAGGGTGTAGAATTCAAGTCTTTATCCGGCTAGACTGGACGAAATGTAAAAAGACGAGAAAAAAACACGAGCGCTTCGTTTGGGTGTAGATTAATTTCTTTATCCGGCTCCAAGGACCAATATCGATACTGAGAAAAGAAACACGACCACTTCGTTTGGGGGTAGATTCAATTTTCTATCCAGCTCGAAGGACCAATGTAGAAAGTGAGAAAGGAAACATGACCGCTTCGTTTGGGTATAGATTCAATTCCCTATCCGGCTCGACGGGACCAAATGTAAAAAGGCGAGAAAAGAACTCGACGACTTTATAGGGTGTAGAACAAATTCTCAATCCGGATCGTAGGACCAAATGTTTGGGAGGAGAGTGAAAATGTTCGATTTGATAGTTGATTCGTCGCTGATTTTATATTTCACAATTCCATCTTATGTGCTAACTTACAAAATTGTTCTTAACCCTGCGAAACCCTTATCTTCTATTCAAAAAGACATAGAAATTCGTGCAAGATCGACGTGTCTCATCTCACGTAGTTTGCCCTGTCAGCATATTTCTTGTGGGGGTCATAAAATCTTTCTCAATATCTTTTGCAGAAGGCAAACAGAGCTCTAGGTCTACAATAGATTATAATTTACAAAAACTAATAAACCAAATCGTAAATAACCCAATACAAAATTATCATCAAACTGAAGAGTAAATTCTATGTAGATAGGCATGTGACTATTCTATGTAGATAGGCATATTCCACTATATTGAACAGTTCCGTCATTTTCCGAAATTAAAAAATCATTTTGCATAACACTCCAACATGATGTGTAAACTTGCCTTTAGGGATAAGTTACTTGACTTTCGATGAGGCGACTTATGTTCAATGACAAGGTCCCAAAGTAGACCTTTGTCGATTTTTAATTTTGCAATCATGAATAAAAATCGGAAAATAACTTTCACAAGCGCCTAAAAGTATGCAATGATTGACATACCATCATCAGCTGATCCAAATATACATCATCGAAATCAACTTTTGGTGGCTGAATAAAAAATCGAAAATCACCTAGATGGCTTAACAAAATCTACTTTTTAATGAAACCAAAGGTCGAAATTCGCTCTCGATTACATGTCCCCGGAAGCCCTTATCATCAATTTATAATTAGCATCATCATTGTCCAAAGGAAAACAATTCACATCAACCGTCTCTCATCATCATCGTGACACATCGACATAGGTTAGCTTAGATCTTTTATCAGATAATTATTTATATCATAGCTACATATATCATAGGTTCATAATAATCACTCAAAACATAACTCCCACAAAACCAACGGAACCCCCTAACAAAAGTCTTGTCATATTTGCCAAAAATGAAAAAAGAAAAAAAGAAAAGAAGAAGAAAATTCAAATTGTACCCATAAGTATTTAGAGTAATAGAATATTGAAAAATCGAATACGAATGTACTAATTGTATGCACCATACCATGTACACAATGCTTAACATATATTAATATCATTCATTTATTTCTTCGATTATATCACTCAAAGGGCCTACATTTATAAACTGCTACAAAGTCAACATTATAATTTTCTCAATATCAAAAGATGAAAATATCCATCTTCATTTTTCGAAACATTAATTTTTCTTAAACGGCTTTCAGATTATTAACCCAAATATTTGCTTTACAAAGTTGGCATTGTAAATCTTTAAAATAGTGTAGTTTGAGTTAGTAGGTAGGATATAGGCATTCAGATAATAATCTTAAATGGATAAAAAAAGGTATGTCACCAAATATTCGTTGCACAATCTTAATGATTTAAAATTTTGAATTTATTTAAATAGCACAGTTTGAGTTGGTAGGTAGGATATGGGGCATTTCTACAATCATTTCAGCCATCCACTTATGCTAGACACGCACCAAATCCAATGAAATGTAGATGTCGCCATGAGGTCTTAAGTAAAGGCATAAACCTAATGCTGATAAAAATGGTGGCAAATTGTATTGAAATCGGCTGTGATTCAAGCTGATAGATATCGCTCAGTGATAGCCATTGATTGTTGTTATGTCTCCCCAGATGGAAGTATGTAAATTTATTTATTTTTAAAAATGAATCATCAGGTTATACCTCAAATTTTTTTGGCTGTTTTGATAGTTTTTTTTTTTTTTTTTTTTTTTTTGAATTATTTAAGAATACTTTTGAAATCATAGGCGTTGATAGAGTGAAAAGAACTTTTTCCAAAAAATTTAAATTTATTTGAATTTTAAATTTACATTTTTAAATAAATAAATTTATTTATTATTTTTTTTTGGGAGATAATAATTCAGAAGATAGGACATCGGCATTCTATATACTTATGCTAAACATGCATCAAAAGACGTGAAATGTAGACGCAATTGACTCGAAAAGCATAGGAAAGTTCATTCATGATATCGGGATTGGAAAGTCGTAAGCGCATATCCTAAATTTGGAAGGATGCAAAAGTCTTAACAATCCCGAAATCGAACGTTAATTATATGCCATTCTCAATACTGTGTTATCTCTCTAAGATTGTTGAAAACATTATGAACACTCAAATTTCAGAACGCTGGTAGATGTATGTGATTCAATAATGTATGTACATATATGACAACATGGTCGACCTGCTTGTACTTTTAGACCACTTCAAAGACCTTGATCATATAAATACATGTCTGAAACTGAGAAAATGTTCCAAATAAGAATTTAAGAACCGTCGGTAAGATATCAGTCAAAATTGCTGTTTTAATTCGCCCTCATTTATTTACCGAACAACAATTGGTAAAAATTTGAGGAAATTAAAAAAGGATGGCATAGAACAGACCCCTCGTCCAATTTTTGTCATGTAATTAAAAATAGTATAAGACTTAGTATCAAAATAAATATTTTGATCCATTTTTATTGCTTTGTGTCTTAAAATTAGGTCTTAGAAAAACTACATTCTCCCAAAAACAAAACTACCTTGTGAAAGAAATAAGGTTTCCCATTTCCTACCTACTCGCTAACATATCTTCAAAAACTCGGTTGAAATTAAACATTTCATGGAATAGCTTCTAGAAGTTCTTTTATCTTCACAAAGGTGACGCCAATATTTCACCTCACTAGGCGTATTTCCAGACTAAATGAATACACACAGCTGATACATATTAATAGCAACTGTTTAAAGGACATTATCTCGGAATACCCACACCCAGCCTACTTATAAAAATATCTTCTGTAAATCGACTGGAATGGAACTTTTTATTGCTTATTATTTAGAGTCTCCAGTCAAATGTAGGGAATATATTCTATTATATCTAGATGTGGAATCTTGCAGCTAAAGAGAAAAAGCTACCAATAAGAGCAAAGAGAGACATATTTATTTCACTTCACTAGGTATGTGTATTGGCTAATCGGATACACACAGCGTCAATAAACGGCAACTATTTTAGTGATATTCTCAGAATGCCCATTTCCTGCCTACTCATGATCATTTACCATGTAACTCGGCTGTAATGAAACTTTTCATTTCTTGTTCGTTATTTCTAGCCAAATGG